ATGATAGGTGATCTGTGAGTCAGCAAAATAAAAGCTTTTGGAGAGAAGGAAGAATTTTTCATCTTTCTTCTGATGTGGAGACTCATGTGATATAGCGCAAGACACTGGGAGCTCTGCCATACAAAAGCTCTGAGCGCCATGCAGCATTTGTCCCGTTTCAGCTACCAAGGCAGGAGAAAGGGAAGAAGCAGTGGTTTGACTTGTTCTCTGAGAGAAAAATAAATCTCACTCTTCAAGAACACACATCAGCAACTTGCTTGTTTGCAGCACTTTAAAGCCACAATACTTTCTTCACCTGCCTTGGAGAGAAGGTGGCCCTGGAAAAGGCCCCTTTTACCCTTCCCTTGCCAAGACCACAGTGAGGAAGACTGCAGAATGACCCACAAGCATCAGTCCTGTGAAGCTCCAGGCAGGTCTGAGCCCACAGCAGGCTAGTCCACAACCCTGTAGCACCTACACAGTTGTTCTTGTTGAAATCGTTCAAGGAATGGATGCACAAAGAAGTCCCACAGCAAATACAAGTATGTTCAAAGGTAAAAGTGAGCGAGGAACCATAAGGTCTAAACAAAAGAAACTAGAGGCAAAAATAAAACATGATCACGCTAGACTGGCTCTAAGAAAGTATGAAGACAATCCCTCGCCTCTTATCTTCCTTCCCTTTTCTGCACTATTTGGCTTCCTCAAAATAAGTTTCTAATCCTAACTCTCCCAGCAAGACAATGAAATGTAGATAGCTAGCTTAAGCATACTTAGAAATTCCTCTCTGCGTATCTTCTATGCTGTGGTTACCCTTTTTCACAAGACAGTTCTTTCTTAAAGACTGCAGCAGAAGATCAATTTAGAACCTGGGTTGTCTATAGCCTATATGAAAAAAAATTCTTTTGAATGACGTTCCTACAGTCCTTCTGATGGTATAAAACAGCATCAACCCAATAGGTTTCTGTTTTGCTTCAAGGAGTAAGCCAGTAGACTAAATACTCCCTGGGCTTTGAGTGCCTTACCCCTCACAGTAGCTTTAGAGAACAGCACTGTGGGTTCCTGGAAGATGCCAAACTGAATATAGTATATCCCCTCATTGCCTTTGTGGTACTACCGTTTTCGAAGCAAACACAGCCTTTCACCTTCTTTGCCATAATATACCAGTTAATGGTTTCCTGAAGTTTTTGGGACAAGAGAAAAAAAAGTTTGCATCAACATAGCCTCCTTTTCATGGTCAGCTTTCTTAAAGTACAAGTACATACGTTAAAGTGCTTATTCCATCAGCTTAAAATGCCTCTCACCCCTCCCAATGCCTGTACCATATTCCACAGCTCAAACCCCTGCCATGATCACTTTCCCCATGCTTTGTGAACACAAATCTGTAGCACATTAAAAGTGAACCTACGAGAACAGCGCAAAACACATGGAACTGAATATGCGAATAAATATAGAACTCTTCAGATTTTGGGGGGATTTTTGCTCTAATAATATATACCCCCATTTCTAAAAGCATCAGTGATGCTGCTGAAGTTTTGCAGAAGCCAGAACTATGGACCAAGTTTCTGTGCACAAGACTGGGGCCAAAATGTGACAGGGTAAATGCCTAATAGTGACTCAATGATATCCTTACACTGGCATCCTCCATAAAGAGACAGTTACTCATGTTCAAAGTTGTTGGACACAGCTTTCCTTCCCTTCTCTCTTCCCCTCCCAGCTCATATAGACACTTGTTTTGTCTAATTAGATGAACATTTATCTCGTGACAGGCAAGAGCTGGCAATACTACAATCATCATTCCCTCCATCCCTGTTTAACCAGAGAGAGCTGAGAGGAAGTGATTGCAGGGAAGTGAAGTCCTATTTCCCCAGCTCACACTGCCATAGGCAATCAATTTGGAGCAAAGGTTCCATCTTGAAAATGTCAAACAGAATGAAAAAAGGTAAAATCAAAAATTATAAAATCAGCTCCAACCATTCCTCCAGGTCCAGCTGCTCCCCTGGGTTCTTCTAGCATAGCTGACAACACAGCTAGAGGAATATCTGCTTTCTGTGCTGGTGCCTTGGAGTTCTCAGCCTCAAATTAATTGCCCCTCACCCACTCCTGCAATTCAAGAGAAACTGATGAAGCATCAGTCCTGCCTGCCAGTCTGAAAAAAGCAGTCTGCTGGGCACGGCTGGAGCCCTCTCTTCTGCTCCCCCATCCAGTATGCAGGCAAAGCAATAGATTTCCTTCCCAGGCCCACGATTTGCTACCCATGCACCAGGGAAGGAAAATAACCACTACTGAAATACAGATACGTCAAAGAACAGCAGTAGCTTCAGCCTGGAAAAGGCATTTTCTTTAGTAGGGTGACCAGACACTCTGGTTTCAACTTTCCAGTTCCTCTGAAATTCTCTAGGATGCCATTTTGCCCCAGTGTTTCATCAGGAAATAGGGGTGGGTTTGCTTTTTTTTTTTCTTTCTTCCATCTTATGCCACAGTTCTGAGAAATTACCACTGGCAAGAGCATAAGGAACAACAGGCCTGGGCCCTGCTCCTTCACTATTTGTCACAACACTCAGTGAAAGAGAAATTCTGAATAGAGAATTGTTCAGAGGAAAATAATGGCCAGGTTGAATGGAAATGCTATTCTGCCTCAGGGTGAGCAGTGGTGAGTTGAAGCAGCAGTGCCCTGGATGAAGCTAGTCCAGAGGTACAGAATCAGGTCAGCTGATTAGGCAGGGACAAAAATTACAGGGACTTTCTGAAGTGATTTCAGAGTCTTACCCCACTTTATGTCTACTCCATTGCAAGTGTTTTCTAAAGGAAGAACATCCCCCTCAACCAAAACATGATTTGAAAAGATTGCTATTGCCTTGTCTTTTAAAACATATGTTTTACAGAAAAACACCAAGGTCACTGTTCCTACACAGGAAACAGTCATATAGGTTCAGTTCGTTCTTAAATGCAGTGACCTCCAGATCCTCCAGTGGCTAACCCATATATCAAACACTCACCATTGCACCTAACTGCTCTGGAGAAGAGAAAGCTTCAGCAAAGTATTTCTCTCCTTTCCTGTCTTTAGATAGGGAGATTCAAACTTCAGTTCTATCTACATCTACCTACACTTATCTGACTCATGAACTAGCAAGAAAATCTGGGTCAGAAATATGCATGCACACCCACATACTTGGTGTACCCTCCCCAGGGAGGGAGCAAACAGCCTCACCCTGAAAGTGCCTCAGACCACATCAGATATGTAGATGTGTGAGCACAGCATGTCTAGACTGCCACTTTGGAGGCTGACGAATGCCCTACTGAAGGCTCCTGTCAGCTGCCAACACACGAGGCTCAGGAACTTGCTGATACCACCAAAGGATACACACACCAAGGGACTAACATGGCCAGTAATATTAGTAATTATATTTAAGCTGAAAAGATACAAAGACAGCTTAAGAATATCCCTTTACCTGAGCCATTGCTGAACTAAAGACAAACTTCTTTAAGACAATAACTCCTACATTAATTAGTAAGATTCCCAATGGATGGATGCAGAAAAGTCATTGTTGCTCACAGCAGTGGCAAAAGCACACATAACGCAGCCAAAAGCATAAACCAAAGACCCTTCCTACTGCCCTATGAGCCCTAACAGAAGACGTCTTGGGTGGGGGGTGTGTTTCTTTTTGCCCACAGATGAGCAATGTTAACATAAAACTGACACCAGCAGAGATGACAGGTGGTAGCAGAAAACCTGAAAGGAGCTGAACCTCCTGATCTTCTGATTTCAGGGACAAATGAGCACAGCACAGTATTTTGCAAGACCAGCCTCTTACAACCTTCTGAGAGGCATGAGTTCAATATTCCTTTTCTTCGTCATGTCACAATAAGAATATGTATTTATCCACACACAGACACATTTCCAAAAAAAATTAGGAATTTAGCAAGACCCTCTAGAACTTTCTTAATGCTTTACCAGATTTTACCAGGTGGGCCTACAAGCATCAATGAGCGTCAAACCAGGCCTGACCTTACCAATGCAGGAAATCAACTATATCATTATACCTTCTCCATCCCAGAGCTTAAAAGGACCCTCCCAAAGCAACAGCCACATAAGGCAGGAGTGAAACAGGGACTGAAAGCCCTGGGAACACCAGAGGTCTTACACATTTCTCAAGCTGACACAGTCTGGACAGTAGCTGCTCACTACCACCTTTCAAGATTTTCAATCAGAATTAGCATCCCTCAACCCCTGCCATCTTCAGGGAGCTGTTAACTGCTTCCACTGAGACAGAGGAGCTCAGGACACCCATCAGTCTTCATGACTATGTAGTAACAAGAGCAGGTTGCAGTGGCATCCTTCCTTGTGAAATCCTACCTCTTCCATTTTATCAGTGAAAACCCTTTTCCATCTCCAAGATAAGAAGGAGAAAAGCTTTAAGGCCAGCCAATACATCTCAAGGGAATTCCATCCCTGTCAGATCTTGTTGCTTCAGCAAACGTTACAAGTTGGTGACCACTGGCTACAATTATCACCAAGGGCTAAGCTCCTTCCCTGTGCCTCAAAGGGTGCAGCGTTTCTCTTTCTAGATCTTCAAAGGAGAGTGGTGGCACACTGACCCAGGAGCTGCAGGCAGCAGGACATATTCTACAATAAAAGCCAGCAATGAATTCTGCTGGAAGCAGGAAACTCAGCAGCAGCATGAACTGCATGAGAATACGTTCACGTGCAGAGCATTCTACTGAATTAAAAAATAGGGCATTGATTTTTTTATTCATTTTTGTATTTAACTCAATATTAATCTCTGCATACGAATGCCTCTTCCCCACCACCACTTTTTCATGCCTCAGCAGAATTTCTAGTCAGCAGCAGAAACAGATGTAGGTCCTAAGAACAAATCGATCAGTCTGCTACAAAGACAAACTGTATGTGAGAAGAGGGCTCTGAGCAGATTGTCAGTCAAAGCCGCTGTTCTCATTTATCAGTGAGTACCTCCCTTAGCCTGCACGTGAGGAGGACGGAGAAGAAAGCCAGCAACACTTACGCAAGGCATGCCACTCATCCTGGCGGATTGTCTTGGTGATGTTGTAGGTGAGGTTCTTGGGAATGGTCGCTGAGGAGTAGTGGTACTTGATGTATGTGCACCGCTCAATTGCTCCTGGGAAGGGCAAAATGCAGAAAAGAAAGTGCTGTTAAATGAATGCAACATGTCCTCCCAGCTGTAGACCAGATGGGCTTGACAACCAAAAGGAAAGGCTAGGAGCCAAGCAATCCCTACCATCAGTCCACTATGACAACCAGTGCCATCTTTGGCTCATGACAAGCACAAGCTACCTGTAGGGTAAGCTCACATCCAAACTTACGATACACCAAAAGCCCTGCAGTAGCTGCCAGAGTGCCTACTTTTACCATCAGATATATATGTAGCAAATCACCCCTTCTTTCATTTCTTTTCTCTGAACCGTGAGCTAGCAGCAGGCATACCAGCATTTACTGTGTAGAAACTGTAAATTCACATCTTAGCTTATCGTGCAGTAATGTGTCTCAATGCCTATACTCCAGGAGACACACAAAGCAAACATCTTTGTTCTTTCCTTCAGTAATAAAAAACAGCACAGGAAAAATAATATAGATAGATAGTGAACAATTTTCCTGACCCCCTTCCACCCCACAGCCAAGAAGCAAGACAAGCAGAAGGATTGTGACAGGCTGTGGTATGTCTCTTGAAGGTACCCAGACATTTTCATAGCAGGCTCAGAAACAGAATTTATTGGCACCCCTGAATAACAAGCCTCAGATGGCAACACAAATGGCTGAAATGGGCAATTTTTTCCCCTGTAGTCAGGATTTCATCTACGTCCCATGGAAAAAAGCACCACGTGCTGATTCTGTTTGTCTTCTGGTCACATTATATTCTCCTTTTACAGCCACTTTCCTTCCTCTACAATAATCGTGCCTCCAGGCCCTGATCTCCTGGCATCTCTCTGCATAGTTAGTGTCCTTAGAGGAATGGGTCTGGTATAGCCTGATGCTTTCCATGAATTACAGCCTAGCCAAATTTCACACCCAATCAGAAACCTGTGATAATGCAAGGATGGTTGTACTGATGAAAAACGGTAAGATTTCCTACATGTTTTGCCAGCGTCCTCAGCTAACACTAGCTTTATTAGACCTTCTCACTAAGCAGTCAGATTCAAAGCTCATGAAAGTCCATTTTTCCATTAATATTATGGTATTTTGGATTAAGCCTTTAATAAGTAAATAGGCATCCTTAATGTGGTTGGCCACACTGTTTGCTACTAGCTACCACTGGTCAGAGAAGCAGCTATGCTGGAAATGCTTTTATGTATTAAAAATACATTAAGACAGGCACTCAATAGAATAAATTAAATGAAGCAATGAATTATATAAATAAAAAGGCATGCTATACACCAAAAGGCAGGTAGAGAACACTTACTGTCAGCCTGAACTGAAAAGGCAGAGCCATTAGCCTTATATCGACAACTCCAAGGGGTTAAATATGCTTTTATGCCACTTGAAATACATGTTTCTACCTCAGGTTGTAAAATATTATTTGGCATGAACTTAGATCATACACCATGAATTCACAGCATGAATAAGAAAACCCATGAAACAAAATTATTAGTTACATTGCAGTCTACTAGCATCTTCCAAAGTTAGTGCAATACAAACATTTGAGGTCCTCATTGTTTGCTCCTCTTAAGCATTCTTCACATTCTGCCTTTGACAGCAATTAGATTAGACAAAACCAAATATTATAGGGGAAAAAGGCAAAATATTTACATATGTATCTGCCTGCCCTGACAGCGTGATGGGCTTCTGTGTGAGTCTGCACCATCTGGGCACCAAATGTACACCCAGAATTAAAGTTCCAAACCAAGAACAGTATTTAAAAAAAGACAGCTAGTGTGCAAAGAGCTTTAAAAAAAGCCCCAAATCACAACCTTGCCTTCTTATAGGTTCTGCTGTCCCCTTTTGTTCAGCTGCTTTCATGGATCAGAAGCATTGGCAAGAAAATGGAAAAAAGCTTATTTGTCAGAAAATAATCTTTAAGTTATCAGATACCTGCCCGGAGAAAAGATTTATGTAGAGTAGCAGACAAGGACACAGAGCCAAGATTCAAAATAAAAGCATACAGAAGGAAGGAAGAAAAAAATCCTGTTCCATTTGCTATAATTTCTTGAAGTAATCAGCAGAAAGCACCTGCTCTTACACCAAAGAGGCTAATTTCTAGCAAGGCCCATCAAACTGCTTATTCTTACTGCAAATACTGTTAGTAGTAATGCAGTGAGCTGTTCACTATCTTATATCACCAAAGCCTAAAGCAGAAAGAGAGATTATGGTCTGAATTCAGGTCATCGCTTCACCATATATATAATTTTGGGTTTATGCTTACATCCCCATGGCTTTAACAAGACTTAAGTACACGTTTAAAGACTGTCTAGAACTAAGAGTACAACTGCAGTGGCAATGGTTCAGTGGTAGCTGAAGTACAGGCAGATTTGAATGGTAAATTCCATTATGATCTCCTTTCCAGCCTCACAATTTATTTCAACACTGTTCCCAACCCTAAATAACATGCAATTATTAGCCAATAACCATCATGGCTCCAACCAAGAATTTGTAGGGACCAGAAGGTAAAGTGCTCTTCAGAGTACATGGTGAGATACGTTCTCTTTTTTGCCCTACTTGACTCTGAAATAACAGGGCTGGCCACTGCATGCACTCAACGGGGCTGAGCAGGGTACAGAGAATTCACTTGTACCTGGGAATTGTCCCCACTACTTGCCTTACACAGGGAAACAGACTCCCAGGTCAGACAGACAAGGATGCTGCTCCTGGATTTTCACCCTTCTCTGAAGCACTAAGCATAGGTCCACTGCCAGAATGAGTAAGCCTAATTAATTTTTTGTTACAGGGCTCAAAATACTTGAGTCTAATCCAAGTTACTGGGCTCAATAAAGAGATAAACGGGTGAAACATAATGGTCTATGATATACCAGAGGTCAGCCTGCAGGAGCTAATGGGCCCTTTTGGCTTTAGGCTGTTAAACTCTCCTATGAATGCTGAGTTTAATACACTCAGGAGAATGTAGTTCAGAGTGTTTCAGAGCTGTCTTCTACTAGCTTCCAGCACTTCAATTACTTCAGATTCTAGAACAGCAGCAACTGCTGGAGAGAGCATGCAGCCATCTTCATCCACATGGCCACTGCTGATAGGAGAGGCAGGCAGGATCTTGCTGGGAACCTCGAGTTTTTCACGGCCCGAACTGACAAGGTTTGTGATTGCTTGGCATTTAAACATGAGCCATTTATCTAAACCTGCTCTCACAGGTGTAGAAGAGTGACCCTGCTGAGTTAACGCAACTGCATCAGCGTATGTCTAGCTAGAGGTGAGAATTAGCTTTTGAAACTTAGAAAGAGGTTTTCATTTGCCTGGACCTGTAAATAGAAATTAGGAAAAGGATGAGTCTATAGCAGTGACAATTTCATACTTCAAGATCTTTCCTACTTGTCCCGCACAGAAGAGCACTAGGTTCAAGACCCCCAAACATCCAGCTCCTGGAGATCCTTGGAAGAGCAGAGGCAGTGACTGCAGCAAGGATCAGAACTACTGCTCTCCTGGAAAGTCCTCTCAGAAAAACCCTAAGAAATCCTTACCTTTAAATGAATGAATAGCTATGCTCACTCCAGTCTTTGCAGTGGGAGGGGAAGCAAGAGTAAGGAAAAAAACCCCAACGCTTTCCGTTCCATACCCTCAGTAGGGTAATTGCAATTTATGGAGCATCTCCAGCCTTCAGCACTAACAGAAAGACCAAATGCAACTGCAGCTGAGCTCTGCACTTTGCTCAAATAACTGGGAATGGTATTAATAGAGCAAGCCAGTGAGTGGGTTTTTTCACCTATGCAGCTGCAATAGCAAGTGTTATAGCTGGCCGCGAGAAACACAAAGCAACCACAAAGCTGCCTCCACTGACAGATGCAGTATAGTCTATGTTCCTCTGATCAAAGGGAAATGTTTGCTGAAAATCCTAAAGAAAAGTGGCTGACATCTTCAACTAGAGTGCTAGGGAAGGGATCAGAACTAGAACTATGCAGAGCGAAACTGCCATACCATCCTCACGTAAGCACAGATGCTCAGAGGGGATTCAGCAGCTGTAACTCTGTGGTTGGCAACACCCTGTTCCAGCAAAGTTCAGATGCCAAGTAAAATTGAGATAAGGAAACTAGAGATAGCTTCATCCAGAGCAGCTAAGTATTCACAGCATCAAACATGCCACTCTACTTACTGATCCGCTGACCTCCTCAGTTCCCCTCCCACATCTGTTGAGCATTGCTCCACACTACCATCTTATTATTATATAATATTTCCTTTTCTCTCCATTACAAGGAAAATCCTTAAACTGTGCTATAGCAGGAATATCACCTGAAAACACTGCACGATTCTTTTTATTCGATTTTCAAAACTATCTCAATATCCTGATGTTAGTTCAGCTGCTAGTGAAACTCAGCTCCCACTGCATTACTAGGGCTGTAAACACTACCCCAGTAGAGGCCCCAAACTGTTTGGCAATGGAGGGGGTGACTGAACCATTCTCCCACTCCAAGCTGAACAGGGTTGAGATCAATTGAAAGGAAGGTCATATTGCTGGTATCCATACTGTGTTTGTCTGGTGGGTAAACAGACAACATTTCTCAGAACTGTTGGACCAGTGTCTTTCTTCATCACCAAGGGCCCCCCTGCCTTTAAATATAATAATATTTCAACACTTTCAAACTGCTCTAAGAAACAGTCTTTACCCATAGTTAATTTAAGAAATAGAATGAAAATTCAAAATGCCACCAGGGTATTAGACACATCAGTCCTAAAATTTGGATCTCAGACGTGACCAGAGGCATTTGCCTGTGAGGTCAGCTTGACTTTTGCGGAGGTGGTTGTCAAGTTTCAGGAATTTACACTGTCACTGTGATCATGTAGTCTTCTGCATAATACAGACCAACTCATCTGACAGCTGGCAATAGAAAGTAGTCCTTCAGATGGCCTTTCATGAAACTGGCAATCTGTGAGAGCAGTTAGGTAAGTGTCAGTAATGTCACTTCAGATCCGGCCCAAGATGGCACACAGAAGAGTTACTTA